ATTGTGTATTGGTGCCAACTTCTTCGTGCATGACGTCCCTCCTCACAAGGACCGCAGTACCTCTGTACGCGATACCTTCTGAGGAGATCTCGTCATGTCGGTACACGAAGAAGTTGGGGAGTTTTAATTGAGCAGAGGGGCGCAGTTTGGTCTCCCCCAGCAGCACAATTTGGATATTGTGCTGCTGGACCAGGGTTCTCAGGTCGGCGACCTTCCCTAAGATGCCGCCGGGGTTCCAATAACACATCCTAAGTGGATGGCCTGCTGACGGAGGTTAACTGGGCTAAGGCCGTTAGGATGGCCGAAAGGGGGTTGGTGCCGGTGGTCATGGCACTCAGGACCTCTCCTAAGATCCTGATTACCACGCCCACCAGTTGAGCGAGGGCCTCCTCGATGGTGGTTGGTGCCTGGGGCTGTGATAGGGGTGTGACAGTTATTGTCCTTTTGGGTGGGCGTTGATCTCGGGGTTGGGGTGCAGATTGCTCGTTCTGATTTGATGGAGGGAAGGTATATCGCAGTTGTTGTGGCAGTGGTTGCTGTTGCTGTGTGGTAGTGACGAGTGGAGGAAGAGGAGTCGAAGTACCACCCACTTGAGCTGGTTGGGTGGTTGCCTTCTTCTTCTTCTTCTTCTTTCCTCTCTTTTTCTTTGGGCGCTCTGTGCGCTCCGTGGCGTTATTCGCCGGTGGTGCTAAAGTCGCCCCGGTCGTAACAAATGTGGTTGGTGCAGGTGTGATTGTTACCTGCCGCTGTTGCGGTTGCGGTTCCTGCCTTTGCAGGTGTTGCTGCTGTGAATATTGCTGCTGTTGGGGTGGGTAGTACTGAGGTTTTTGAGGTGGTGGAGGTTGCCAATGCGGTGCAGGTGGTTGGCTTTGTAGTGGGGGTGGTTGACGTTGCGGTGCTCGTGTTGTTTGCGCGGGGATAGGGGGTTGCATATTAATCCCCCTCTTCCTTGCAATTCGCTGCAACACTGGGCACCGCCTGTCATTCGCCGAGTGATCTTTCCCGCAGTTTGCGCATTTAGGTTGCGCATCCCGCGGTTGTGGGCATGCTGAGGCCAGGTGGTCACCTGCACAGCGTACACATTTGAAGGGTCGGTAGCAGTTGTAGGATGCGTGTCCGAACCCTTGACACCTGTGACACTGCGCAGGGCCAATTCTGCCTGTCCAGCCTTCGATTGTTACTCCCGGCATGTAAAGGAGCTCATCAATTTGGTATAATCTGTTGAGCTCTTCGGGGCTTAGGTGACTCATTTTCACGTGAAACAGGCAGCCAGGCCTGCCTCTTTTTGGTGGAATTGACCGTACAAATGTAACTGGAAAGCCCTTCTCTATGAGGGCCTCCTGTATGTCTTTAGGGTCTGTATCGGCAGGGAGCCCTCTTAACCCCACCTTCGTGGGTTGCTCCTCCTGTGGGGCGTAGCAATACCACACGAAGGTGGCATCCTCCTTGCTTTTATCGATGAGGTAGCGCTGGACCTTCCGATACTCGTCGTCGGACTGGGGCCGAAAACGGACTCCCTTCCCAAACGGGCGAGCATTGGGGGCGTGACCCAAAAGTTGATGTATGATTTTGAAGTGCTTCGCCCAGTTGGGGAAGCACTCCACTATAATAGGAGGGTATTTGGCCTGGTTATTTACTGGCTGTTGTTCTTTCTGTGCAGGTGGTGGTGGAGGTGATGGTGGCGCTGACCTTGGCGCTGGGTGGCGACAGTGGTGGTTCATCTCCTTGTGGAGGTTTTCATGTGTCGAGGAGACCCTTTTTACATGGGCGGCATCTCAGGAGGACACGACCCCCCGGTCCTGGGTGCTGCGTTGGCAGCTTGTATGTAGGTGTATTGCGCACCTCGCGCCATCACGTCGAGTGTCGGGACGCTCACTCACCCCCGGCGTCCCCTGTGCCGGGCAGTGAGCGTAGAAGTTCACGTGGGAGTGGTCGCCCGTCAGGTGGGCGGGCGTGGAGGGGAGCAAGATTTTGAAGGTGTAGGTGTGGCCCGTTGTCTGCGCGGTCGAACAACCGTCTCGCAGAACGGACCACAAAATCGTGGATGGTTTCGACCTTGAGGTCGCGAGAAATGATGTCATTCCTGACGTAGCGACCGGCTCCCACGATCACCCGGAGCGCAAGATTTTGCTGGGCCTGCAACCTCTTGCGCTGAGTGGCCGAGGTCAACGCGTACCAGGCTGGTGCTGCGTAGGTCAGCCGCGAGCGGATGTAGGTTTTGTAGATACCTATTTTCGTTCTTGTTGGGAGTTTGGATGCCAGTATAGGGTATAGTTTCGCTCGCGCAGCTCTGGCCTGTCTCACAACGTGATTGACCATCGGGGTCATGCGCAGCGAGCGATCTATCTGGCATCCTAGGTACGTAATGGTACTACTCCAACCCACATCCTGCCCGCGGAGTTGCAGAGTTGGTGGTGTTCTGGCCAGCCTGGTCATGAAGGCGACGGTCTTCCCGACATTGACCGCCAGCCTCCATTTGTCCAGCCACTCAGGCAAGAGGTCGAGTACCCGCTGCAATTTCTTAGCAGCTATGTCCACCCGACGTGATGACGCGAAGTACGCACTGTCGTCGGCGTACAAGGCTAGGACAACGTCATCCTCCCATTCCTCCAGATGGCCTTGGAGGGTGGGGATGTCGTTGGTGTAGACCGCGTACAGGTGCGGTGATAGGCAGCTGCCCTGTGGCACTCCCGCAGAAATCGGTCGTGCCGCCGAAACAGCCCCTTCCAAGGAGACATGGAAGCTCCGCCCCTCCAGGAATGACGCTATTAGCCGCACAAGCATTGGCGGCAAGGTGGTACTGTGTATGAGTTTATATACTAGCCCTGCGTGCCACACCCTGTCGAAGGCCTTCTCCATGTCGAGAAGGACCCCCACACAGATGCGGCCGAAGTTATATTCGGCCGCAAGATGGTGCAGCACGCGGGCCAGCTGAGACGTGGTTGAATGTCCCCTGCGGAAGCCAAATTGCTCCTCCCGCAGGGTAACATGTGGGAGTACCCTGTTCAGGGTGATTTTCTCGAAGAGTTTTGCTATGTGCGGCAATAGCGTTATGGGGCGGTAGCTGGCCGGGAACCTCCTGTCTTTTCCCGGCTTCGGCAGCACGATGATTCTGCCCTGCTTCCATATGGTCGGGAAGTGGCCAGTCCTCAGGATGCCATTATACAGCCTGGTGAGTGCCACTATTACCCTTCTAGGCAGCTGCTTTATTGCAGTGGTGGTTATGCCGTCGTAACCCGGCGCTTTACGGCTAGGTAGGCGCATAATAGTGCGCCTTACCTCTGCTGGAGATATGAAATCGCCGCCTCGCAATGGCGGCGCCGGGTTAGAGAGGTATTCCCGTACGCGGTCCTCTATGCCTTGTACGTGGTCTGCGTACCCCTCTGCTATGCTGTTGGGTATAAACTGTTGCTCTAGGTGCTGTGCCATCAACTCCGCTCTAGGTTGGGCGTCGTAAATCCTACTCCCCGTGCTGTCCACCAGTGGGCAGACAGGTGGTGGTGTCTTGGAGAGCTGCCGGTTGAGGAGATGCAGGGAGGCGGGTGTCTCCGAGGCTTCGTCGACTCGCCTCTCCCATGCTTCTCCCCTGTATGCTCTCATTGCTTCCGACAGCTCTTCCGTTAGAGAGTTAAGTTTAGTTTTAAGCCGTGGGCATCGTGTCCGTGCCCAGAGCCTCCTCAGTTTCCGTTTTTCGGATAGTTGAATTTGCAGTTTGCGTGGGAGTTCCTCCTTTCCGCGCCCCGTGGAGACAGGGTGGGAATGAAGTTGTAGTTGGTCTTTAATGGTATTATGAATATGCAGGGCCGCTGTCTCCACATCTTCATAGGTGGTGATAGAGGCGCAGAGTTGGAGGTCCTCCAGCGCACTGCGGAAGCGTTGCCAATTAGTCCTCATTCTGAGGCTTCTGGGCACTGCGGCATCCGCACTGGTGTCGATCGTAATCAGCACGGGGAGGTGTTGCGTTTCTAGGTCATACAACACTTCTAACCGTGTTGTATACGGCACTAGATGACACAGCACAATATCAAGAACATCGGGCTGATGTTCGGGTTTTGTCGGGATATGAGTGGGCTCGTCTGGGCCCAGCACCTCGTACCCCCACTCCTCGGCGTCATCAAACAGTTTTCTTCCGGGTGGTGTGATCAGCCCGGAGCCCCAAGCGGGATGTTTTGCGTTGAGGTCTCCGGCGATAATTGCGGGCGTTGTGGAGTCGAAAATGGTACGTATATCCTGGGGGGCAAACGAGGTGCCAGGAGGTCGGTAGGCGGCAAAGATTCTCAGTTCTTTGGTGCCTACCTTCAACCTTATACCCTTGGTTCTTGTGGATTTAAATTGTGTGTTGGTGCTAACTTCTTCGTGCATGACGTCCCTCCTCACAAGGACCGCAGTACCCCTGTACGCGATTCCTTCTGGGGAGATCTCGTCGTGGCGGTACACGAAGAAGTTGGGGAGTTTTAGTTGTGCAGAGGGGCGCAGTTTAGTCTCCCCCAGCAGCACAATTTGGATATTGTGCTGCTGGACCAGGGTTCTCAGGTCGGCGACCTTCCCTGAGATGCCGCCGGGGTTCCAGTAGACCATCCTAAGTTGATGGCCTGCTGACAGATGTTAGTTGGGCTAAGGCCGTTAAGATGGCCGAAAGGGGGTTGGTGCCGGTGGTCATGGCAGTCAGGACCTCTCCTAAGATCCTGATTACCACGCCCACCAGTTGAGCGAGGGCCTCCTCGATGGTGGTTGGTGCCTGGGGCTGTGATAGGGGTGTGACAGTTATTGTCCTTTTGGGTGGGCGTTGATCTCGGGGTTGGGGTGCAGATTGCTCGTTCTGATTTGATGGAGGGAAGGTGTATCGCAGTTGTGGCAGTGGTAGTCGCTGTTCATTGGTGGTGTTGGGTGGAGGAAGAGGAGTTGAAGTACCACCCACTTGAGCTGTTTGGGTGGTTGCCTTCTTCTTCTTCTTCTTCTTGCCTCTTTTCCTCTTTGGGCGCTCTATGCGCTCCGTGGGATCATTCGCCGGTGGAGCTAATGTCGCCCCAGTCGTCGCAAATGTAGTAGGCGCTGGTGCTAATGTCACCTGCCGCTGTTGCGGTTGAGGCGCCTGGTGTAGTGGTTGCTGCTGTTGTTGCAGTTGTTGTGATGGATAATAGGTTTGCCTTTGAGGCGGTGGTGGTTGTCGTTGTTGTGGAGGCGGTTGATGTTGTGGTGCTTGTGCTGCTGCTTGCGGGGGTATGGGAGGCTGTATGTTTATGCCTCTCTTCCTCGCAATTCGCTGCAGCACAGGGCATCGCCTATCATTTGCGGCGTGATCCCTACCGCAGTTGGCGCACTTGGGCTGTGCATCCCGCGGTTGTGGGCAAGCTGAGGCGAGATGGTCACCTGCACAGCGCACACATTTGAAGGGTCGGTAGCAATTGTACGATGCATGCCCGAACCCTTGACATCTGTGACACTGTGCAGGACCAATTCTGCCTGTCCAGCCTTCTATTTGTACCCCCGGCATGTAGAGCAGCTCATCAATCTTATATAGTCTGTTGAGCTCCTCGGGGCTTAGGTGGTTCATCTTTACGTGAAACAGGCATCCGGGCCTGCCTCTTTTGGGTGGTATGGATCGGACAAAAGTGACAGGGAAGCCCTTCTCTATGAGGGCCTCCTGTATGTCCTTTGGATCAGTGTCGGCAGGGAGCCCTCTTAACCCCACCTTCGTGGGTTGCTCCTCTTGTGGGGCGTAGCAATACCACACGAAGGTGGCGTCCTCCTTGCTTTTCTCAATAAGGTACTTTTGGACCTTCCGATACTCGTCGTCGGACTGGGGCCGAAAACGGACTCCCTTCCCAAACGGGCGAGCATTAGGGGCGTGTCCCAGAAGCTGGTGGATAATTTTGAAGTGCTTCGCCCAATTGGGGAAGCACTCCACTATAATAGGAGGGTATTTGGCCTGGTTATTTACTGGTTGTTGTTGTTTTTGTGCAGATGGTGGTGGAGGAGATGGTGGCGCTGATCTCGGCGCTGCTGCAATTTGCGCATAAGAGTCCGGCGCAGAAGATGGACCAGGCATGGGCTCCTGGTTTACAGGTTGGGAGTCTTGCATTGGGGCTAGAGTGGCGTAGGACGTATTGTCCCACTCTCTCTCCCCTTCCGGGTCTTCCTCGCCGAAATCCTGCATATCAGCGGTGCAGGCCGGAGAGGTGGTTGGAGACGGTGAGTTTGGCGGAATGTTATGCCTTACCACAGGTTGTGGGGCTTGTCTCTCGGGTGGGGTTACCGAGGAAGGAGGCGATGCCGAATCAGATAGTGAGTCTGATCCGGCTCTCAGCCTTTTCTCCTCTTGGAGCTGGTCTTTGTCTATTTCAGGAGGTGTACGTCTCCGCGAGGCTTGGCTCCGGCGTGGTAGTGGCGCCGGTTCGATGCTAGGTGGAGACACAGCTTCACCAGCGCCGAGCGCGGTGCCAGTGGCCGATGAACTACCAATCCGCCTCGGGAGTTGGCTATACGGTGGGAGCACTCGCGACCTCTCAGGAGCGAAGAGGTCTCGCTCCATGAGGGGCCTGTCGAGAACTCCCAGACGCCTGTCGGGTGGTTTTCGGCGTGTTGGGGGAGGTTCCCCCTTGTCCGACATCACAAATTACTTGTGCTCAGCCCTTGGCTATCACACACCTTACTCCCCTCAGCGCGTGCAACCACACCGGGTGAGACCCGTGAGGGAGGCCCAGCGAGGCGCCCGCGAGCAGGGAGGGGTGTGTGAGGCGCAGATGGGATGGGCGTTATCTCACAAAATGCGGAACACTTGCAAACACTTTTTATAATAAAAAGAGGGTACAGTGTACAAACAAGATAAAAAACGCAAAGTAGGGCACAGCGTAGGTTGTGACCTTTGCGCTTACCTTGATAACAGCTCGATGCAGGAGATGCGCCAGCGACGCCTCGACGCCAAACGGAGCGAACTCGACGTCGGCGGAGTCAATCACTAGCACAACACGTACACAACACAGGAGCGCACTAGACACGTCCGCACTGTAGCACGGCCCGCAACGAACTGAGGGTGGCGACACTATCGCACACCTTACCCCCCCAACCAAAGCTTAACCGTAAGGAGAACCGCGGTGCTGCGAGACGTTTTCTCGTACGAACACTTCTAACTTTTCACTAGAACGTCTCGAATAAAATTTAATTTTTACCGTGATATATAAATATTATCGTATTCAGAAAGTTAATACGGTATATATTTGAGATTGTGCACGTAACAGACAAACCCGTTACGTATATAAGCGATCGAGAAACGAGCAATGGATGTTTATTTTGTTCACTATATTCTGAGCGTACCATGAGCCGCCTTTTAAAATGATTTTTCTCTATTTGCTCATTAGTTTAGTTAAATTTAAATCGGTCTATTGAAAGTTAATATCCTGAGGTTAGACAGAAGGCAGAGGTCACGCCGGTAATGCATTATTCGTAATGCAACGACCTATTATACGTCGAAGGTCGTAAAACACGAAGAGGTCTCGAGGCTCACAGACCGAAGTCCCTATACAAAGCGTAGGATCTTTGAAAATAGTCTATAATATTTTAAAATTTGTCCACTGTAATCTGAAATAATTATTATAAATCATCATTATTTCTAGAATGCTGCAACACGTTCCCATACTTCTTCAAAATACGTACAAAAGCTGGGCTGGGCAGTCACGCTTCAGAGCAACGTATGTTTATAAAGCGTTAAGTATTTAAAAAAAAAAAAAAATAAAGTGTGATATTATTAAAATATAGTATATCATATTATTATGTATATATTAAATAATAAGGGAGATAAATAAGAGAAAAAAAAATACAATTCGGAATTATGATAATATATTCCTAAGACGTTCGAACCATTATTTCAATATGGCGATATCTTACACTTGTTTAGTAGGTATCGTCAAATTTAAGAAGAGTATAGTCATTTAAACGTGTGTGTGCATACATGAATTGTCGTTTCTTTCATTCAGATCAGTTTTTCGAAATTATTTCGAATTAAAAAAAAAAAAAATAAACCTAATTTTGTTCTCCGCGTTTAATTGGTATATATAAATATTATGTGATGCCTTTACAGCTTTTAAATAACATAACTTTGTAGACAGACACATCTAATTCTAATATGCACTTACATACATGATCATAAACACACATACATTCGCACTTATATACATAATCATGCCATTTATACACATATCCATACAACAAAATACATGCTTGCACATATCATTTGACGATACTCTACGAAACAAATACAAGGTATATCGATAGTTTTGCGGCCCTGAAAAGGGCCTTTTTTTTTTATTAACTTATACGATTAGAAAAATCGTCTCATCACGTAACTTAACTCTCAGAGTCCCGCATACCAAGTAGCAAATACACACTGCGCACATGGTGTACTATAGACGAACTTAGAGCGGACAGAGAGCCGTAGTACGTGGCGGTGGACGACGTCTCCATCGCGTATAAGAAATTAACCACCGAATCCGTAGAGGGTACGTCCTTGACGTTTCAGGGCGTAGACGACATCCATGGCGGTGACGGTTTTCCTCTTCGCATGCTCGGTGTATGTAACAGCGTCACGAATCACGTTCTCAAGGAACACCTTGAGTACACCGCGTGTCTCTTCGTAGATTAACCCGGAGATACGTTTCACACCGCCCCTGCGTGCGAGACGTCTGATAGCCGGTTTGGTGATACCCTGGATGTTATCACGAAGAACTTTTCTGTGCCGCTTCGCTCCACCTTTCCCCAAACCTTTACCACCTTTACCGCGACCGGTCATTTTCGCTTAGAGAAGAAAGACAACACACGAAATAATATATATAGAGACTTAACGTACGTTACGAACGCACGACGACAGATAGACCGCACTAACTTTTTTCCCGTTTATATAAAGTCACCCAGACGACTGAGACGGCTGAGGCGAGGGTGCGGGGAAGTATAAAATGGCGGGCAAATAATAAGACGATGGCGGGGGGGTGGGGGGGGGGAATTGGATGTTTCGTGTTGCTGTAGATGGTACCCGGAAAAAAAAAAATTTGTCGAAATATCGTTTAAAATTGGAAGAGGTAGTTTCTATATAATAATAAATAAATTTGTCAGTTCGATACGCGCGCCATCTATTGTAAGTTTATTAGTTAGCAATAAGTTGACTAAGTTTTAGCGCAATCTGATGAACGGTATGGTAGCGCATTATATACGAACAAACAAAAAAAAATATTTATATATTAGAATATAGAAAGGTATCTAATTAGTTACTACGTATAAGGTAATACGATTTTGTCCTGCGCCAATGGCTAGACTCTCCATCCAATGAATCCTGAGGTCAATCCGCATACTATTAAAAAAAAAAAAAAAAAAAGAAATTAGTTAATCCCCCATTAATTTTAATACTCAAAGCCCGCCATGAAATAATGTCGCGGGGTGAACGAGGTGTATATAAAGTACAGATAATATTATTGTCGAAACATGTCGTTTTCTATTTTGTATCACTTCATTTAATATGATTATCCAAAGTAAGATATTATAATTTATATTATTATGAAGACGAAGATTTTTATTTATTAAAAAAAAAAAAAAAAAAAACTGTATCCTAACTAACAGAAGCGTTCTGCGCGTGAACATTGGTGGTGGTAGACTTCGCGGGCAGCGGCGGCGCAGGCATCGTCGGCGCCGATCGTCGATGATGGTGATGAATGATCATCCGTCGTGAGACAGGTAAGCTTTACCCTACTGTGTATCTTATGATGTTAAATAGTATACAGTTTGTCGTCTATTATACTAGATTAGTACATCTATCTATTAATTTATTTAAAGGGTATCTAAATAAACATTTCGATTTGCTGAGCCCTTAATTCGATATTATGTTTTTGTTGTTATCTCATAATATTACCATACCATACTATCTATCTATATATCTATCTATCTATTACTTGCTCGTTTAACGTTCTCTTATATTCTAAAGAAACGCACAGTTTATTGTGTAGAAACATATGCGGCCCTGAAAAGGGCCTTTTATGAAAGTGAAAGAGAACATACGTTAAAACCAACACAATCATCATCATCTTGTCAACGTGTAGTTGTTGTTAATGAGGCATATTTAATATTGCCACTTTCACACTGCCAATCGATGATTGATGTTAAAAATTAAACGTAGTTCACAACACAATCGGTAGAGTAGAGTTTATTAAGCTCGTTCCCCGCGAATTCTGCGCGCCAACTGTATGTCTTTCGGCATAATGGTTACGCGTTTTGCATGAATCGCGCATAAGTTGGTATCTTCGAACAACCCGACTAGGTAAGCTTCGCTAGCCTCTTGAAGGGCCATCACGGCGGAGCTCTGGAAGCGGAGGTCGGTCTTGAAATCCTGAGCGATTTCACGCACCAAACGTTGGAACGGCAATTTGCGGATGAGGAGCTCGGTGCTCTTCTGGTAGCGACGAATCTCACGGAGAGCGACGGTACCGGGCCTGTAGCGATGTGGTTTCTTAACACCGCCGGTTGCTGGTGCGCTCTTACGGGCTGCTTTGGTGGCCAGTTGTTTACGCGGCGCTTTACCACCGGTGGATTTCCGAGCGGTCTGCTTAGTACGTGCCATTGTTACGTTACACTAACTCAACTAATACACAATATATTCACTATACGACTATACGTTCTCAACGCGCGGGATACTGAAATCGTCGTTTTTTTTTTTTTTTTTTTTGCGCCCGAAGCAATTGGAAAAGGGCTACCCCGAAGGGAGGCAGAAAATGCATTACGCATACCACGATGGCCGGTCCATCGTGGTTATGAGGGACTCACTACCTACAAGGGGGAACCTAAGTGATACCCTCTAAAAACTGCCTTTGGGGACTGGCAACCAGCTGTTGAAAGCTTCACATGCCGTATCGTAAAGCGACCCTCTTTTGGGAAAAGAGGGCGCAGGCGGCTATAAGCCGCTGAGGGAGTGCCTGGGAAGGCAAATTAATTATGAATAACTTAATTAGAGTTGGCCTGAGCCGCCAGGAGGCAGTTCAGGTCGTTTGAAAGTTTATTAGGCGGGTCCGAGAGGGAGTTCCTCGGCCTGCGGACGCTATAGCG